TTTTAGTATAAATCTACTAGTTGTTCAAAACTTTATCTAAATCCTCTTCACAGACACTTCGAAAATGCCAAGAAGCAGCCATGATTTTGTTAACAAGGGCACACTGCCACGCTACTCACTGTCTATCACAGAATAGATAGTAAATTTATACTAAAACTTGATAGAAACAGAACTAGCACGAGTTGTTGCTATAATGATGGCGCAAGCAACGAGAATTTATTTTTACATTTTGATGATCAAAGTAAACAAGTTGTTTTTCTTTTTTTCGTCGCAGTATTTTCCGACAGAAATAGATAACATATTCTCTGAGTTTCTACTGAGTTATAGAAAAATTGGTTGGAGGTGTGCAGCCTGCTTCCCAAAACCAATACACTATCTAAGACCAAAATCTGTGATTTTCTCTACCCTATTATGACCCAAGCAAAAATTTCGATACCCTATTTAAGACCTGACCATTAAATCAATACTGTGTTTTGGCCCTGCCTTACAGTATAACTAGTTCCCTAGTTTATACCAATGTTAAAAGCATTGGGAAGGGCTTTTGTTGATAGTCTCATTGATAATGATGAAAAAGTAGCGTCTTCTATTTAAAAAACATATCCAATTCAAGATTAGAGTGCAAAAACTGGCTTAAATCAATACCCCATTCTGACCAAAGCGAGTAGCACACCCGTCCCCCTCTGCTTCAGGCATTTTCCAGTGTTAATAATTTTTGCTATATTTTATGGCCATGAAATGACAGGATAAGCTTTATAGCACTACAGATTATTTCATAGTATTATGTTTACAGTCACCTTCTACCAGTTGATCTTGACTGCCCTCTGCACACAATTTCGTGCACAAGTTTTTGTGCCCTGATTTCCAGTCCACCGTCTGATGTTCACGGCAACAATACTGAGCAATGTGACATTTCGAACACTTCTTGTCTCCTTTGCAGCCGCACACATCGCACAAACTTGTCCAAGCCTTTGGTTTAAACTCATTTGCCACGGATTCTAACGAGAGTTCGTTGATCTCATCTAGCTCTGGAGGGGGATGATAGCTGTAGAACTTATTATCGCGTTTTAACTGGTTTCTCAGAACAAGGAAGCAATCGCTGCGGTTTTTGGAGTGGCATTTTCCATCTTTGCAGCAAAATACGAAAATCGTTCGATGAAAACTTCGGTCGTCGGCCAACGGAGCGTACACTTGCAACAGTAAGATCATAGGTTTTTGGCAGATCTTACAGAGCAAGCGCCTAGAATCAGGCAGATCTTGTAAGTTTAGCCACGCTGGTTTTCCACCGATTTTACTCGGAAAGAAGGCGCTGGTCATTTGAA